TAATCATTATTATTGTAGGAATGGTTTGGAAAACTGGCGGAAACTCTAATATTTTTGAGTCCATCGACATCCTTGAGTTCAAGTGATGTGAATTTGGCAGTAATTGTTCGCTCGCCTGAAGTCTTTGGTATTATAGTGAATGAGGCGCGGGCTTCAGTTTCAGGGAATACAGGCCTGCAAATGATATGAAATTTTATTAGTTTCAAACATGGTCAACTACTGTATAAATATATTTTTATGATATGATGTACATTTTTAATGGAATACGTAATCGGTGAGAATAGTCGGGTCCTTCTATTGTAAATACTCCTAAATATATAAATTAATAGTTATTTAATAAGTTATAAATAATAACGAATGTTCATATTTTAACATTCAAACCGTACCTTTCGTCAACGATTTTGGTAATGGGTTTATGAAATATACATTACATGTGAAGGGTTTGCCCTGAATTATATCACCAATTGTCTGTATTATAATGTCAGGCATCCTAAGTCTGAAGTCATCCATAGCATAGTACTGTTTGGTATTATATTCATAGGTATAGAAGTAATGAATATGTGATTTGATTAAAATATTACCTGAAAATCTGTTTCAATGACATTGGCCATAACGGTTATGCTAAACAAACCTTGATCCGTCATATACTTTTCATATTCACTATACGTAACTAAAACTGCAATTTCTTCCTCTGCAACAAATAAAACAAAATTTCAAATGTAATTAAACTTTAGATTAATTTGTTACATAAATTTACATTAATAAAGTGTTTAACCAATATTAATTAATGATTAAATTGAAACCTGTTTTTGGACCGACTCTCACATCTCGACGATCTTTTTTGACCACAGCTTTGGTGACCCCCGTATACAATGTAGTTCTCACTCCAATCACTGAGTTTATAGTATAAACTTTGTTACTCTTGTTATACATTCTTAGACGAACCTGGTTTATAAATGATCATCAATATCAGTGTTTTGTATAATTAGCAAATGATTAAACCGTGAATGGGTTGCCAACGAGGAGGTCATCGAGGAGTAAGAACTCGAACCTAATGTCTTCAAATCTCTCGTTCAGATAATATCTCGAGTATTGACTTCTAGACAGTCTTAAGGCTCGGATCATTGTCTCCCTTTCCTCTGCACTTTTTTCTTTATGTTTATAATTATCAGTGATATCTACGCGAGTATTCCGGAGAACAGCTTTTGTCGAAATATTTAGACCAATGCTATAGAAAATATGTTTTGTTGTGAACATGTATTGCATTCAACATTGAAAGACATACGAATCGGTTAATTGAGATATTAGTTTAACGGGCTGTTTGGGTCCCAAGAAAAGCCAATATACTTCATCTGCATTCACTTCCGCGTAAACAAACTTTCCGTCGAAATGTTTGTTCACTTCTCCCTGTTTGATGGCCTCAACACTGGTGGGGCCGCACCGGTACAGGCCATCAGAAGTCTCTTGAGGGGTGGCGTCTAATCATTAATTAGAGTTCACTAATTCATTAGTTTTCATTTCAAATCGATCGCATTGTATGGTATGGTATGGTATATGTCATACCGATTACATTCCACCCGTCGTAAGCACCGGACATTGAAAGGTCCGGCCGTTTAATCCACACCTCAACCCATGAGTGAAAATTCCAAATCGAGTCAGTGTTGAGACCTTTAAGGGGTTCTCCTTCTTCGTCGAAGAATCTGTCGACTGTTATACTGCTGTGAGTGTCGTGAGCGGACTGGTAGTTCGTGATCACACGGGCCGGTATGCCTATACAACGGGCCACTGAATACAATTTAAAGGGAATTTTGTTACATAACTATTACATATAGTATTAGAAACGTCCAAAGAGGACTCACTGGTGGCAACGAGTCCTGAGAAGACCCAACACTGACCGAACTTAACCGGTCTTTTGGTTTTGTAGAACTGCTGGAGTATGGCTTGACTCCCGTGCCAGTCGGTGGGTGCGGTGCCGCCTCGGAAATCCTCTTTCCAGTTGCCGACAACTATACCATTGTCATCAACACTGTTCACAATGGCTGAGATATGTCGACACACTTTAATAGGATCTCCCCTATAATTAGAAGTTTGTATAAGTTTTTTAAAGTTGTACAAAGTTATAAAAAAAGTATTAAACCAACCTATCGGTGACATTAAGGCGCCCCACCTTTGATAAGGCATAAAGACTTGCTTCAAGAACAAGATCCTCGTACTATACAGTATGCAAAATATATATTATATTAAATATAATTTTTTAAAAATTCAATTGTAAAATATTTAATCCTAAACATGATTTTTTACACATTGTTTCTCTTATTTTAATTCTTATTTGGCTTTTTATTTAATTATAAGCTTTCTAATAAAAACTAAGCTATTCAAATAAAATATCAAAAAGTTAATATTCATATCTTTAACAAAAACAACAATTATATGTTTATTATTATAATTATTTTTATTGTATTTAATTACACATAAATAGCATAAAACTGAACCACCCATCTGTAGGCGAGCTATTTCTCAATGAAAATACTATTTATATTAAGGGTAATGTTAATTGAATTATTCCCTTTTAATAATAACTCAATTCAATAATCAAACATTTCAAAATATGACAACTAGAACATACCTGTGCGAAATTCCAAGGTGTGGGCTTCATCTTTTCATGAGTTCCCCTCCAAATGATTCCGCTTTCATTCAACACATATTCGTCTCTGCCTTCCCTGTCCTTTAAGAATACGGAATCTCCTAATGAAAATCAAATCAAAATTCAGAAATATACATAATTATCTTAAGTATGGATATCTCATACTTTTATTCCACGGATTAAAGAGTAAATAAATGGATTCCTTCACTGGATTTGTCGTAAGAGATCGATTGCCTTTACTTATGGACTTAGTATCCACACTAAGTATGTATTCGCCAATAATGGCTGTCGGCGCTGAAGTGATTTCGATGGACACACTAAAGCCATCGACTTTTATCACTTTAGCGCTCCACTCGTCTTCTAATACAATGGAAACATTGGATGTGTTTCTGTCGTCAAACACAGGAATTGTAATTCTGATGCTTTGAGCATAACTTGTAGTTTCGGCGTCTATTAGACATACAAATAGTTTATAATTTATGATATACTGTACTAAGCACTTCATTTGGTGGACAATACCTTTGACAGTAAAGACTAGATTTATGATATCATCTTTTCTATTATACTGGCGTTGAAAAGTGAATCTTATTTCAAAAGGTGTTCCTCTTCTCACTACAAGCCTTGGATTATTTGGTCGTTTAGTTAACGCATACTTTTCAGTCCTATGGTCCCAACTATTGCTTTCGATTTGGAAATCAATTCTTCTCAATACAAGAGCATCTGATTCTGAATCAAAACAAATGGTTGTATTTTAATTTGAAATTTATTTTAAGTATACTGAAGTTATAATTGCTAAATGAGCATTTATTAATATTTGAATTAATAATTGTCCAACATGATTTTAACTTAATTGTAAACTTAAAATAAAATATTTTCAAAAAATAATGATTATTTTAATGTGTTTTCAACTATAATAGCAACTACAATTTTATTATGATAAATTATATAGCAATAACATGAATGAAATGACCAAAAGCTTACTTTTATCAGATGACACCACATCTATAGTATTGTCATAACGATATCTATTAGTAGGGGTGAGCCGGACCCTACTGGGTCTGAGCCACGCGAAACAATTACCCATTGGATCGCATCTGATTGTATAGCGATTTCTACGAAACATCTGGTTTTGCCTCAAATCGAAGCAATTATTAATGGCTAATAAAAGCACAAATGAGACATAAGTGAAGCACCTGTTTATAAGAGTTCCCAACACTCATAACAATCGATGCCAGGGCTAAGCCATTGCAACGGAATGGCACGACATTTACAAGAGTTACCACTATTTAGTCTTTTATTTCAATAATTATTTGTTACAATATTCCGAAGGTCTCACTCTATTCATGAGTTCTCTATTCTCTTCATTATTTAGATTAGACTTTAAGTTGTGTTGACTTTTAAAACAAAACTTTTTAATACTATTGAAGGCAACGGAATATATAATCATATATTTTGATGCCTTTTTGGATGCAATAAAAGGACTCATTCTTTCCATTTGGAGGCAAAAGTAGGCGTTTGTGATCGTAGGCTGCAGTCAGTCAGTCATTATAATCATTGGGATTCACTAATCATTCATTTTCTTCTCATTTCACTTCCACTAAAACTTAATTACAGAAAATACTCAACAAATAATAGATAAGTCTCTAAAAGAGTTGTAATTCTTTTTAATCTATTTGAAACATGTCATTAGTAGTGAAATGAATATCTTGTGATAAGATCTCGTAAGACATTCAATATTAATGTAAAAGTGTCATCACTTTCACAACATTACGAGTTTTCTACTTAAAAAAATAAATTTAACTTTATTTAAAAATTCTTTTATATAAATACTGATATTTTAAGAAATGTTAACATTTAATTTGTTTCCTTTTATGGTCACTACATTAAGTCACATGAATTCAATATTGAATAAATTATTTATTTTTAGAGAAAAGCATTTTTAAAAATTCTTTGAAATAAAAGTGCAAATTACAAACAATCATCTTGATCCTAATTATTCCAGTCTATTATAAAGAATCTACTGTATAAAGTTATTACTGTATAGATAATTGTTCACATTTTTGCTTGAGGTCAAGATGTTGTAAAAATGCATTAACTGATGAACTATATTATCATTGAATGCAATACCATGACTTTATATATCTGCAAGCTATATTTGATGGTATAACTAGAGTATATTTGTGCCAAATATGATTTAATTGAGTTCACTAAGTTATTAACATTTGACCAATTCACTAGCATTTATAGTATAAATTTTATACAGTATTCAAATATAGTCTAACTTGTAAGCAATAGTAAACCTTGCGAGTACATGAGTGCCATCTTATGCCGTATTAAACCATTATGCATTTCTCATTAATTTTTAAAACTTTTAACAAGGTAAGAAAATTACTTACAATTAGTTTAGAAAATATGAATTATTATATATCGTTAATTGATAATGTAGTAAGTTGGTAAATTAGCTTAGATTTAGTTAAATTATGTTTTATTTATATAGATTT